CTTATACCCACACTGCCCAATATTGCCAAGGAAAACTACCAGAGCCGCCAAGAGGGCCCACAACTGCCTCAAGAGGCACCCCGACTGGCCCCAAAAAGACCCCAGGAATCGCCAGAGGGAGGCCCGAGAAGCTACCGAAACACTGGGGAGAAGACCGGGGGGGGCGTCCAGGAAGGCCACGATCAATAAGAATGTTGCGGCAACTCTGTGTTTTTATGTGGAATTCCTCAGCCCGTCGACTCAGGATGGCTCAAACCAATGCGCCTGGGGGCGTGGGAGGGAGGCCCGAGGAGCCCAGCGAGGGCCCCAAACGGTTGCAAGGCGGCCGATAACAACCCCAAGAGGCCCCCCCCCCAAAACGGCTCAGGAGGGCCCCAATACAATCCTGTTTGGCCATGCGTCGCCGATAAACAAGAAGGCCCAAATAGCGACCGAACATCTCGTCTGACCTTCGAGAGGGGGCCAAGTCCACCCAGGCCACAGCCAAGCGGGCCGAAGAGCCAAGACAGCACACGACAGCGCCAAAACGACCCCAAGATTTGCACCCTGTCCAATCTACGGCATGCGACAGCGATGTTGTACAATAGCGCGTGCTGCAGCGCACGGCTGTGGCGCCACATCAGCGAAGTGATACATCACGCTACGCTTAATGATACTTGAACCTCGTCCACAAAATCCTATATTGGCGCCTCGAAGATGTGTCGCAAGGAACGCGAAAATCTATAAGTTGCGTTGGTCGGCTGTGTTCCCCAGGGGCGTTCTGCAGTCGCCTTACGAGGCTGCCCGCGGCTCGCTTCGGAGGGCGAGAGAGGAAGGCGGAAGGGGAGAGAGGGAGTGGCAGGGGAAGGGAGGGAGGGAATGAAGAGAGGAAAGAATAGCGAGAGAGAGAGAGAGAGGGGGGAAGGGCGGTGAGGGAGAGTAGATATGCAGAGAGAGAGGGGGAGGAAGGGAGGTACTTAGGCAGCGAGAAAAGAGGGGGGGAGAGAGAGAGAGGGGGGAAAAGAGAGAGAGAGTGAGATAACATAACAAAATATAGAAAAGAGAGAGAGAGAGAGTGCGAAAGAGAGAGAGAGAGGGAGAGAGAGATGGATAGAAGAGAGAGCGGGAGGAAAGGAGAGAGGGAGAGGAAAACGAGAGAAGAAGAGGGAGAGAGTGGGAGAGAGAGAGAGAGAGAGAGAACGCGCACACACACACACACACACACACACGTGACACACAGTAAGGGAGAGGGGACAAGGGAACAAAGATGGAGACCGAAAGAAGGACAACCGCTAAACCTGGACCAGACCAATTCGCATGAGCAGTTCCCCACGCTTGGGCAACCGACGATACCTATATGACAGCCATTGGGTCCTCCTCATGCCACTCCATATCGCCCCGTCCATCCCCCTGGACAATCTGCAAAACCTTTAGAAGCAAATCTACAGCCTCCGAGATACCCAGAAACGTAAAAGCAGACGTGACGTCACCGACTAAAGGCCAACTAGGGACTAGAGGCCTCCTGGACAGGGTCCGAGTAGATAGGGTCGGAGGATCGCACCGCATCGCCGATGCATCGGCGACGTCTGCGCTGCATCGGCGCCGTCGGCGCAGAGAACCATCGGGCTCCATATCGAGCCGCATCGGCGATGCATCGGCGATGCGGCGTGATCCTCCGACCCCATCTGGTCGAACCCCATCTGGGAGGCCGTGGCCGAGGGGGGACGCCCACACAACGGGAAGCCCG